CGATTTAAATCGCCCCGTTTAAAAAGTCCGCAAGTACATGTGCAATACCGTCGTACGTCCCGTGCGCTCCACATCACCGAACTACGCAGCGACATCAGTATTGCGCCGATCGTTGGAGCGATACTTCGAACATACAAAAACGCGTAAACACGCGTCAATCGCCGACTCGGTCACGATCAATTTGATTCACATTCCTTTCAAATAACTGTGCATTTCCATCCGGCATGATTTATTGTTGTTGCCTAATAAATTAGAGGGGGACCCCTCCTTATCCCAAATAAGAAGGAAGGATGTGCGTCATGGCGCGGCCCGATCACGAACCAGTCATGAAAATTCGTAATTATTTTGCGAAAAATATCACCTCAGCCAGGAATTGAACCTGGATCTCCTGCTTATCGGGCAGACATCTTAGCCTTTCGACTGCAGAGACATGTGATGATATTTATCGCAAATAACGTGTTTAGAATAACACAACAATACAATGATACACACATATATACATATATCACAATATACATATATACATGTATATTCTCTCGAATCTCCATGACCGGTACTCCAGAGAGATGATGGTCCTATTCTCTTGATGGATTGTATCATAATTTCGCCTTCGATCTAATTTTAACATCAAAAATATTGTCTCCAACGTCCTCGCTTCCTCACCTGGTAACCGACTGACCGCTATCCGCGTGAGAAAGCGAGACCGTTTTATCTAGTATACAATCTCTAAAAATTAACTTTGTTACTATAAACATGCATTGAACTAAAAGTATTCTGATGTTTTATTATAGTATAATTTCAATGAAATATATTTTTGCTTTTCATACTTTATCAACAAATATTTGAAAACAAAAGCCAAAGAAATTCATAACATAAATGTACATGTAAAGAATAATATAAAGATTAAATATTTAAACAATAAATATGAAGCCAAATGGAATATAATAATCGATTTTATGTTTAATAAATTCTAAAAAAGATTAAAAAGACAGGTAGTATCTTTAACTTGCATGCTGTCTAAGTGTCGGTCCACAATAGGTGATTTAAGCTTTAAGAAGTAAGAAATTGACCAATTATAATCTCATATGAAAAGAATACTCGACTATGATTAGTCAATTTCTTACGACTTAAGGATTAAATACTTATTGTGGACCGACACTAATGCATTTTTATTTGTATATAATATACGTTTCACAGTCGTACACAACATATGCGAAAGCGATGACGAATAGCACACACATCTATACACACATCTGTACACACACACATATATACGCATATTGACAATGTGCCCGCGACATTCGTGGAGTCTGTGATCTCGGACTCGAGGTTCGCGTATTAGCTTTCCGCGGTATCAAAGGATCCGGGACACGTGCAAAATTCGACGTCACCGTCACGGTATCGGCGGCTCTTGTGTTCTTCCGATTGTCGTGAAAAACAAGAAAGTATAAAGAAAGAATGTATAATTTTAGAAATCGTACATTTTTAGAAATCGAGTCCATGATCGTCGAAAAATGACGATCACGTTCATTCCTGCGAAATCCGCGATGCCATACACATCGAGAGCGCCTTTCAAAACGTGTGTGCTATAACGATCCAAGACGACGGCCTCAGGCATTGTCGTTCCGTAAAACTGACTCAGGCAGCATTCCCAAGCGCTTCCATCAAGTGGAGTACTCGCCTCAGGCGTAGTCACGACGCGACGGGCATTATGCGAAACGCGAAAATGCGAATTATCGGACATTACGCGAACACCGCACGTGAATGATATACATTGTGAATATTATATAATTTTGTGAACGAAATATACGAAACCACAGTGCAAGGCGCAATTCTTGGGCTGATAGACTGAGTATTCATCCAAAACTCGGGTGCGTCTCACTTGACCACGTTGCAATTGGACACAGCCACTTACAGCGACCAATGCTTGAAGATTTTCCACTCGATCAATCAATCAAATAATTTTATTTTAAATTGATCAATCGGCAACGTGGGCAATCGGACGCCATCCGCAAAGCTCTCTGAAGACAAAAAGTCAAAGTTGGCTTATCAATGTTACTATCGTTTACACGGCGACGTTAAACCGCTTTAGCCGTAACAACCGCAGTTAGATTTTCTGCATTTAATTAGAGTACATTTTTAGATTTAAAAGAGGATGACACCCGTTTGACCACGTCCTGATTGATCATTAGCCACTCACAGCGCTTGAACAGTGGAAAAATTTTAGACGCTGGCCCCAAATAAGAAGGGAGGGTGTGCGTCACGGCGGGGCCCGACCACGAATCAGTCGTGAAAACTCATAATTATTTTGCGAAAAAATACCACTTCAGTTAGGAATCGAATCTAGATCTCCTGCTTACCAGACAGCATTTTATCCTTTCGACTACCGAGGCATGTGATCAAGAGACACGGGTGGTGTCTCGACGCCAAGTTCACATGCAGCGAAGTGTAGAACGATGGCGAGACGCCCGTGGCTCTATTTACGCGAGAGGCCACAGGCTCCGGGATGAACTCTACAATGACTGCAATGACTGCAATGTCAGCAATAACTGCATTGATTAAGTTTTAATTACGCTTAATCAATAGCTGAATATCAAATTATATAAGAAAAGTGTTTTATTTTTTTTCTCCGTGTTCTATAAACTGAGATATCGCGACGCAATTGTGACGCAAAGTTCAAATGGGTAAATTTAAGAAATATCCTGGTCGTCATCGTGACTCTCCTTTTTTTGTCGCAAGAGGCGCTAATGAATGTCTCTGTATGACAGCTCTTGCAGCACTCATTTTTTTGATGTGATATGTCTTTGACAGATGTCCTTCGTGTAAAGTTGTACGTATTGATTAATAAAAAGAAAATATAACGTGTCACATAATAGTAAGTAATATTGTAATAATATAATATATAATACATTGAAGAAATAGAATAAGAAATAGAAATAGAAATAGAATTAGATTTTTACAACAAATTATTGACAACAAATATATTATATTTTTACAAAACTCATTCTTATATAAATACATATAAAAAATTTCATTAATATAAACTAATATATATATATATATATAATGTTATTTATATTAGTTATACTTTTTTTATTAATTTAAAAATGAAAATAGAATCATAACTAATTAATTTTAATATTATCAATTAGTATAAAATATTTATATTTATATTATATTTATTTATTTTTATTTATTTTTATTTATATTTATTTTATTTTATTTATTTTATTTTATTTATATTTATATTTATTTTATTTTATTTATTTTATTTTATTTATATTTATATTTATTTATATTTATATATTTTGTCCGTCTGTAATAGATGATCATTATCCAAATTACCCAAGACCAGAAGAATTGGAATATACATCTCTTTATGAATTTGTACAATGATATTAAACTACAATAAATACAAAAACTAAACCACAAAATGAAGATATTGAATACTAGATAAGGAGAAATTATTATCTTAAACGACGGCAACGTAAACATTTAGTTAATTATTACAGATATAACGTTCATACATAGCCAGAAAAATATTTCTTTGCACTATTACTTATGTTTCAACCATGGCGGAAACTAGATAATCTTAAAAATGGATGTGACACAAAGAATCATTTCACAGAATTAAATTACATTTTGTAGAAGCATTACAATATCACGAAAAATTAAAAAAATTGAAAACGGCATTTGAAACTGCAAAACAGTTAGTTCAGAAATATCTAGATAATGAATTGCAAAAACAACAAGATCTCAAGATGATCCAGAAAATAGGCAATAGGCAAAACATAAAGGCGGATGAAGCAGGACTTTAAAGATCTTGGAGCTAAAATTAAAGAAGAGGATGTTTCTGAAATGATAATAAAATTAAACACAGATCAAAAGAGAATATTTGATAGAATTATTAGCACTATTAAATTAAATAAATCAGTATTACGATTATATGTTAGCGGTGAAGGTACTGGAAAAAGTTTTCTAATTAAGACTAATTAAGTTTTCTAATTAAGACTATTAAATGTTGGATAAAACAAAATCTTAATAAAGAAACTGCTGTAGCAGCACCTATAGGTATTGCATTTAATATAGACGGTTTGACAATTCACAGATTGTTCCAATTACCTGTTGAACATGATCATACTTCTAAATATAAACAATTATCTGATCATGTATTGAAAGTTCTACGAGCGGATTTAAATGATGTTATACTTTTTATAATAGATGAAATATCAATGATATCTAATTTAATTTTAATGTATATACATCTTCGATTATCCGAAATATATGACACTGAATGTGATGATGGCTGGTTTGGTAGAAAACATATTCTTTTATTTGGAGATCTTCTTCAATTACCTCCTGTACACGAAGATTTTGTTTTTGTTCATTTATTGAAAGAAAAAATTGATAAATATATTTTAGGAACCATTAATTTGTGGACTACATTTGAATATGATGAATTGACAATTAATATGCGATAGCAAGGAGATATGGCTTATCGTGAATTGTTATCGTGTATTCGTATTGATTTATTGACAAATTCAGATCACGAGATTCTTCAAAATAGAAAAATATCCTTTACGAATATTTCTTTTAATTCAAGATTGGATGAAATATGTAATTTTATTATCAATTTACCAGTTGACACTGTGTGTTTACTTCCTACTTGTCATATGTGTGACATTTTAAACATTGCAATGTTGAATCGTATTAATTCAAAAGAAGTGTTATTAATTGCTGAAGACACGATAAATTGTATGCCATACATAAAAAAGAAAGTATTGAAAGTATTATCGAAAAATGATGAAGATGATACTAGAACAGCTGGACTTTCGAAACAAATTATTATTAAGATTAAAGTAAAAATAATGCTAAGACGTAATATATAATATTGATGCTAGTTTGGGACTGGTAAATGGTACAATCGCGAAAATAATATCAATTGTTCAAAATATAAATACTGAATATGTAGAAAAGACTCAAACTTTTATTATCTACAGGTTCAGAATACTTGATTGAAAGAGTCAGCGTTAAATTTCAAATGATGGATAGAGCTTACGTTATCAGAAAACAATTTCCATTATCATTAAATTATGGAATCACTATTCATAAAAGCCTAGGTAAGTACAAAATGCTATTGGACATTGGTAATCTGTATTTAATGCAGGACAAGTTTATTGCTTTGTCACGAGTAACATTTAGAGAAGATTTTTTAATTAATTATGATCCCTCATCTATAAAAGCTAGTGAAGTGCAATTATTGAATATAATCGATTAAAACAAACATATAAATCAGAAGCGAAATTAATTACTATTTCAAAACAAAAATATATTAAAATAAAAGATACTTTATGGATATTACCAAAAGTTATTTCTTCTGTTCAAGAATCATATGAAATTCAAAAAAATATTATTTGAATAATACATGGGTTCCAAAATAAGGATAAAGTTTCATCTTACGCAAATGCAATTTTGCAATGTCTTTTGCATTTAAATGTTATTAGAAAACAAATTTTTGAATGTGATAAATTAAATGTTTTAGATATATTAATGAATCGATATGAAAATGGAATATCTGATTTGAATACATTTACAGTACGACAAGATTTAAGAAGTAATTTTTCTAGCTATATAAAACAAGATGCATCTGAATTTCTCATAGCTATCTGTGAAAAATATGATTACATTAAAAATCTAGTTAAGCATCAAATACGTTTCACTATACGGTGTAAAACTTGTGATAAAATGATAATACAATTGTTATTACTAATGATAATATTCTTATTTCCCATTACTAATTTAAAAAAAGACAGTTACGTAAGATCTTAATGATTTATTAAATATTACTTTTTCGAGGTGATATCACTCTCATGATCTATGTAAAAATTGTACAGGGAAAGATACAATATTTAAAAAAGAATTAACATTAACACGAGAAATACTTATCATTTATTTACAATTATTTTTAGAACAAAATGGTAAATTAATAAAAATAGATCAATTTAATTTGCGTGCAGTACCAACAACTACAATATCAGTAGGGGACAATTTTATAAAGTAATGAATGCTATTTTTCATCATGGATCTTTTTATCTATCTATTGAAGATGGAATTATCTATTGAAGATGGTCATTACACAAGTATGTATAGAGATGAAACATCTAATAGATGGATAGACATTGATGATGCACAAATTAACAAGAAAAAATGGCCTAGAGGAGACAAACAATGT